GTTACAGTGTTATGAATTTCAAACATGCATTGTTGTTTTTCTTAAGAACTGAGGATAATGATGAAGTTTATAAAAGTAGGACATTTGAATTTAAAATATGACTATGAGAAAATGTTGTCTTTCTATTTGTCTGTAATTGTAAAAGAAACCACTGGGAACCTCAGGTTTTTTAAAATGCTTTGCATGGTACAATTAATGCCCAAACCAATCAGAATTTATAACAGTGCGTTTTGAATCAAAATAATTCTGGTGCTGCATGTGGCACAGATGTATTTTTATATGCAAAAAATAACTTCTTTTTTTTCTGTCTATGAAGTGTAACTGCTTGACACTTCAGCTGTGAGAAACTAATTGAAGGATTAATGTGATATATAAAACTTTATTCATAGATGGGAATCTGTACGCATTTACATGTGGAAAATTGAAGATCAGTTTTTTTTTCTGGCTTTATAATGGTAATATATTAAAGGATTTTAACTTGATAATATACTTAATCTGTGAACAAGCATTTTAAGATTCTTTACATGGATGCAAATTGATACTGATATATAATTTTCAAGTCCTATGTTCACACTGAATTACATAAATAATTAATTAGTCTTGCTGTAGCTAAAGTTTCATTCTTTTTGTAAGGTATCAGCCAATGTTTTTTTTCACTCCAGAAAGATGTCATCAGATACTATGTTTCCATAGAGAACTATAGAGTTTGCATACAGTGACTTTTTAAACTAATTAGTATCCAGGAAGTACTTGAGGGGGGAAAAAAAAGAAACCCAAGTGTGTTTTCAAGTTGCTTTTAGGTTGTGGTTAACCTCCTTAAGCACATATTTTGATGGATCAAAGCAGCTTTGCTTGCTGAATATAAGTGTAAGGAAAATAATTTAAACCTACATTTTAAAAAGATGAAATGTGAAATACTCAGTAGTTTCTGAAGGTGTTGTACACTTAATTCCCTTATTAAAAGAAAATATTCACTGTCCTTTGTTGTCAATCACAAAATGATTAGAATTCAGTTCAATCTCTTGCTCAAAGCAGTGTTGACACTGAATTCAGGTGGAGTTGCTTAGGACAACCTGCTTCAATCATAAAACAATTATCCTCATAGATAAATTTCTGTGGTCCCATTATCTTTATAAGTCTAGCCTTCCTAATTTGTCCTCTTACTCTGCCTTCATTTTCCAGCTTGTTCTGTGTCCTGATGTTGCACCTTCTTCATAACTCATACTTTCCATTTCCTCACTGGACATCATTAACTTGTGCCTAATTACCACCTTCCACTTCACTCTCACTTTTATTGGTCCCTGTGCCCTGGTGAATCACAGTTTATTCTTCTTGCCTTTTTCTGCCACTGCCTCTATTTTGATAGGTGTTAGAACTGGAAGTTATTGAAGAATGACGGTTTTCTTCTCTTGGCCTGGTCTCTAGTCTCATTTGGGTCAGGAACAACAATTCAAAGAAAACTGAATGTTGTTCCAGTAGCCTCAGACATTCTCGGTTATCAATATGTAGTCTTGGGAGGGGAGGAGGGGAGTACTTCTGCGTACTGCCAGCAGAACCTTGGGAAATTTAATCTGTTAAACTTTGAGGTTGAAAATGAATATACACAAACTGAGACTTTTGTCAAATCTCAGAGCTTTCCCATATTTAGGAAGATGCCATGGAAATGGTAAATGGATGCCTAATAAATTATAAATGAACACCTGATACATGCCAAACATTCATTGCTCTTGATTGGGCACCATTAGGGCTTTTTAAAAAAATTAATTAGTCAGCACTATAGTGGTAAATTTTTTTTCTTCAGCTCATTTTTGGTCATGGCTTAATTTATTTTTTTTTTTAATCTTAAAAACGAACAAAACCCCTTCAGTGTTAGGCAGAGTTGCCATAAACTTCAGCTGTAACAAGTGATTTTAATGAAATCATAAGCAACTCCAGACTTGTGAAGGGAATATCAGGTAATCTTAATAGAATGTGCAACCAAGGTCTTTTGTGAATGAAGAAATTTTTTTTTTCTTCTATTTGTTCATGATAATGAAAATATTTTGTTAAATGTTTTGGCTTTCTTTCCTCTCTGGTCTAGAATAGAATTCTATGTTTGTCACCTGGTTGCTTTGCTTGATGCATCAGGATATCTCATCCCAAAAGACTGATGAGGAATGCTGTAATTCTATGGTTCTTTGTGTTTCTGTTGTACTGTCTGAAACTGAAAATAGCACGTGCTTGCTCCTCCCTGTTGCACTGTTTTATTATGGCTCTATTAAGCAGTTATACTGTGTTCTTATATTTCTTGTTCTTTCTTGGGCTTTAGTGGGTTGGAAGGCGAAGGTCAGATTTTCAAGGTTTCCAATTATTTCTAGCTTTGCCTTCAGTTCTTCAGAAGACAGTGTCCCAAGCTTAACTCAGTTGAGAGTTGCTTATGTTTTTCCTGTCTTTTCTGGTATTATCTAATAAGAAAAAAAATTGCTCAAGTTTGATATTGACTAAGTAGAGGTTCTAGTATAATTGGGGTTTCTGTTTTATCCTTTTGGGACTTCTCTAGTTGCCATTCTGATATTTCCTTAGTTTTCTTTTTGTCTGAATATTTTCAGGGTATCAGGCACAATGTTACATCATCTCTTCTGGTCAGAGATAAAAAGTAAAGCAAAAATAATTTTCACCATTTCAGATAGGTCTGGATGTCCAGCCCAAAACAGGAGTGCAAATCTGACTAATTCCTTCTAGATGATGGAAGGTGTATTTCTTTTGATCTTTTCCAGTTTTTAAAACACACCTGTGTAATTATTTAACAACAGCACCACAAACACAAATTACTCCTGTCATCCTGCAAAATAAACTGAGGAGGTTGTGGAACTGCATGTGTTTTCCAGTCAGCACTTTTACATAGATGTATGAGCCCAGATTTACAAAGGACATATGTAGACTCAGAGAATAATTTAATTTGGAAGGCTTCTGGGAAAGTAATTCACAGTTCAGCCCCCTGCTTAAAGCAGAGCTAACATTCAAATTGGATTCTGTAACTGATCTAGACAATCTGTTCCAGTGACAAACCCCTTTTATTCTGGAACTTTTTCCTCTCATCTCCAACTGGAATTTTTCTTGTTGTTACTTCGGACTCTTGCCTCTTGTCCTTTTGTCTCTGAGAATTCAGTCTGTTGCCAACTTTTCTTTAATCCCACTCCTTTTTACATAGTAAAAGATGTTGCCACGCAGCATCATACTCCTAAAGTGAAGTGCCAAGATCTTGGCAAATGGAATTCATAAATCTGATAAATCTTCATAATTTTTTTATAAATAGAAAAAATTCAATGCCCAAGATTTATGGTAGTGACTAGAGGGACACTTAATCTCGCAAAAAAGGCAGGAGGAAAGGAAGGGATGTGTGAAATCCTAGCTTTCATCCAGATGAATGCATCTGTCTTCAGTCCTGAAAGATGCAAATCTGTATGTTGAGGCGACAAAAACCACTCTTAAGTGTTAAAGTGTCTGTTATCTCAAGGTTTTACTCTTTCTCTTTAGAATGCAGGTTTGAGATGTAACTGATATAAGAGGCTATAGTGTTTATTAACTGATCACACTACTAACAAACCAGTTAACAGATTAATTAATAAAAATATGATTCTGAATCTCAGTTCTATAACACATCATTGTTAATTGCATGCAATCATTGAGTTCTATCAGTTTTTTTCTTACAAATTGCACCCATATGTTACTGGATTTTAGTTCTGTAACTGTTCACTTTAACCTCCCACACTACTTAGTAACAAATTTGCAATTCTGTCACTGTTAACTTCTTACATCAAGTCTTCCAGATGTAGACCCAGTAGAGAGTCCAGTGAGTTGCCCAAGGGGCTTCCTTCTGACATTCTGGCAGCCTTGATTAATAAAGCAGCTCGGCTTCATTATAGTCTGTGGACATCTGCACTCCTTCTGTCAAAAGATCTGCCCTCTCTTGAACTGCTTTTATAACTTGCTTGTTATTTCTTATGTTTGTAGACCCTCTTTTTTTGCTGCCCTTCTATATCCCTTTCTCTACCTGGTCTCCTTTCAAATAAGCAAGTTGGCCCTTAATTACTCTTTCCCCATTGATCCAATTTGCTATATCCATTCCCAGATTTCATATTTCTAAAACCATATCCAAGGTAATCTTGGCCTTAAATGGTATTACTGATGTTGTTAGTTAGGTACTGACAGACTTTCAAGATTCTACCCCTGCAAAAGATGCCTGATACTCCCTTTCAGTTATCTGCTTAATAGCGTTACATGTCCTTATTTTATATACTTTCTAAATACGTCTGCTCCAGCCTTTTTTCCCTCTACCTTGTTTTAAGTATGCTTTATCTCTGTTATGCTTAGCTCTTTCTTGGTTTATATGCAAGTGGCACATGTACTAGGACAAGAAACATACTATTATGTGCTTTTTCTCATTCTGTTTTTTGCTCTTTGCTGCTTGTCAGGGAGCAGCGAGGGCCAGCTGGTCCCGAAGGTAAGAGGAGTCAGGAGCTGAGCATAAGTCTCGCAGAGGCAGTGGCCTCATCAGCAAGGGCTCAGTCCCTCCCCAGCAGCACTATCTTAGAGTTGGCTCTGAGCCCAGGTAGCCAAGCCTCCAGCCCCTTCCAGGAAGGGGTGATGGTCTTAGCATCCTTCCAGCGCTCATGCCCTCACATGTTCCATCGAAAATCGTCAGCCTTTTGGCATCTGCTGATAATATCCCCATTTTCTGCAGAGATCCTGTCTTGTTATGGGGTCCAGTACTCTGGCAGAACCTCTTGCTCACAATGTCAGTCCTCCCTTAGATTAGGACCAAATATTTTTCTGTTCTTTGCAAAGATGATTAAATATTAACCCAGATTTAAATGGTGTGGTTTTTTTAGTTACATCTTGCATTTATATTTGGAACTTTAGTAGTATTTATTAATGAACATTTCTGATAAATATTGTAGCTTTTACAAGTTAAACTTTTACAGGACTTCTAAAAATCTGTTTCTTTCTGTTTCTTTTAGTATCTCCTGAAGCAATTGGATTCCTGTCTGCTGTTGGAGTGTTCATTATTCTCATGTTGCTACTTTTCCTATATATTAATAAGAAGATGTGTTTTGAAAATGTTAGCAGTTTCCCAGATCTCGATTCAGGATACACTACAAGAAAGAACTCACAAGATAAACTTTGTAAGTATCTGAAAGATGGTGTACTAAATTATAAGAATGCACATTTTTACAAGGATATATAATAATCACTTTACATCATGAAAACATACAATGGTGACTTTTCCCGTGACTGTGCGGTGTGGGGAAAGGAAGAAACCTTTGTATTAAAAAGCCACAGAAATTCAATAGCTATTTAACTAAAGAGTTGACATTTACTTAGTGCAAGAGAAATATTTTCCCATATGAGAATACACTTGAACATATTTTAAACATTCCATAATTGTGTATAATTAAATTTTCTCAAGTAAATTTGTGAATGGGTTTATTTGGTTTCCACTATTAAAATCCTTCACTGACCTTTTGGAGGTCTTGCATTTACGCACCTGGAAAATAATTTTAAAGTAGTAAAACATTAGAAACTGAAGATGTCTTATCTCTGACTAACAAATTATTTCTATACTTTTTTAATAGAACAAGGTCTTTAAGGATAATATGAAATGGAAAAAAAAAATACACCTCAGAAAAGATACTGAGGGTTGTTAAAATAACCCTTTTATACTTCTGGACTGTGGAAATTGAATGGGCTTTGTTAGCTGACTTGAGAGGAAGAGACAGGCACCCAAGAACAATGGAAAATTTGAGTGGTTTTCTTCCCTTATGCCTCTTTTTAAAAGGTGCAGCTAAATTTTTATTTTCAATTTTCTTGGAGACAGAAAAGGTTCTCCCCCTGGAAATGAAGTTTGTCATCTTAACTTTCTTTTTGCTACAAAACAAGTCTTTGTGTTCTGAAGTACCTTACCTTATGTAAAAGACAACAAATATTTTTGGTGTGAAGAAGTCTCCATGATGTGTGTTTTTGTGCAGCTATTATGTTAAAAGCTTGTTTTAGTGTGACATTGATGAAAGGATGTAATTTAAGTGTCTCACAACTTCTTCTTTGCAGGTTAGAATAAAAAAAAAATGTATTTCCACCTCACACAGTTGTCTTATTTCTGAAAATAATGAATTTCATTATGGCTAGTTGATGCTGCAGTTGATGAAAGACTATGGTTTTGCTGGTTGATTGTGGCTTCATTTCAAGATATTTTCTTAGCTGCTTGCTTATTATTTTCAATGCATATTGAATGGAAAGAGTGAAGCTGCAACTTCCCCTGGTAAATGTATTGAGTTTGATAGCAAAGCAAATAGCTCTGACGCTGAACTTGGAGAAATGGAGTTGATCTGTTCGTGAAAAAGAGGACCTTTCTGTATTAAAAATTGTTGCAGAATAGGTTGGACAAATGGCGTTTTTCAGAAACCTCCATCAAAATCTGAACCTTCCGTCTGTATCTTCTCTGGTCGACACGCTTAGCAGTGCTGTGGATGATCTGACCAGTGTTGTTGGAGAGGTTGGCTACAGTGTAGCTGATTCAGTAACAGAACAAGTCACGAGCATGATACATGGCCTTCGGGCAGAAGATGAAAGCTCCAAAATACAGAATGCTAAACCTGTTGAAGAGAAAGAGGAACCTACACCATCATTAACTCAGTCTCAGGAAATCAGTATGAAAGCGAAGAGAGGTAGTGCAGAACAGAGAGAGACTCATTATTCTAATTGGATAGATTTTGTAAAAAAAGATACAAGTCAAGATGGAGCATCTGAGCATGTCATGGACAAAAACCAGTGCCAGTTAAAAGGCACAGATAGTAATAATCACTTAAGTTATACAAAAGTGCCTCAGAATTCGAACGCTGTAGGAGGACCTTTTAAAAAGGAAGCAGTAGGAAGAAATGAGTATTTTGTAAATGATAAGTTTTTGAAGGACAGTAATCTGAAAATTAATAAATCTACAATGGAGCAATCTATTGAGGAAGAAAATAATTGCCTCCATGCAGTATCGGATAATTCTAAGAATCATTTGCATAGAAAAATCAAACCACAGTCACCTGGAGTTGATTTTAAAGATTCTGAAGACACGCGCGATGTGAATGTTCCCCAAGCTTTAGAAACAAAGCTTGTTGAAGTAGGAAAGCAAAAGTTATCAGACTCCAGCCTGAAGAAGATGCACAATGACCATCCCAATTGCATTAATGAAATCAAAGAAAAGAAATCTGAAACCTTTTTTTTGAGAAAAGGAAAATCCGTATCAAAGGATGAGGATGATATGTCAACCGCAATTGCAATAGTGGGTAAAAAGAAAAACTCAAAGAAATCAGAAAGAGAGCTATGTAATAAGAAGACAGCAGGAAAAGGTGAGGAGTCCATCGCAAACTGCATTCTTCAACCTTTCCTGAAACTTATGATACTTCCTACTTTTTTAATCTAATTTATACATTTAAATAGTGTTTCCTGTGGGTGAAAGTAGGTCTGTGTTGTCCATGCTTCATTCTCTAATTATGTTGATATTTCTTGGAAGTTAATTATTCTTTAAAGTATTACTTAAAGGAACTGATTAATAAATGCCTGTCCTATGTTCTAACTTTTTCTATATACAGTTTTTCTTACCTTCTCTACAGTGCCTTGTGTGGTTTCTGTTGAAAACTATAATTAATACTGGAAATGAACACTTGTTCTGTGAAAGTGTTTTTTATTTTGTGTATTTTAAAACTATTGCATAAAACATGATAAGATAAAGAAAAAAACCCCAACTTCTGTTACATTATAGTAGATCTTCAGAATATATTTCTGGGATATGTGAGTTAATAATTTTAAAACATAACTCAGTGAAAAGTGGCAAGTGATTTTAAGTATAGGAAAAACTGAATGAAACTTTTGTAGTTGTAGTTTTACAAAGAAAACATATGTATTGTTGATATGGATGCTGTGTGTGCCGTCTTCAACTTCCAATCTTAAACAATGACAGTGGAATTGCAATGATAGTTTGTGAACAAGAAGTAAAACCTTGCATTTTTATACAATTGTCTTGCATGCTGTGTAGTTAATTTTTAGAAAGCAACACAGGCTTTTCTGGTGATGCTGTTTCTGTAGAGAAATTAATGATTTCATAATATAAATATTTTTTTTTCAGTGTGTGTGTTTCCCTTAATGTGAAAATGTCAGTTATTAGTTCTTTTGTTTTTTTGGTTTGTTTGTTGTTTGTTTTTTTCTTAATTTAAATTTGATTTAGGAGGTGGTTTCCATGTTTACATGATAAACTATCATCATATCTGTTATTTCTTCATGTACTGCAGTATTTGTAGAGTATATTTTCTATCAAAAATGGCATATTAGGGCTAATAATAGGTTTCTGTAGGTCAATAATTACACGTGATCTGTGTTAGCAAAATAAAGTTTTTAATAAGAACATGAATTCTTTTAGGCAAGTTTCCAGTTAAGTTATAAAAATGAAAAGAGAAGTGGCAAGGCGAGGCTTAAAACCCTGAGGAGTTTTTTTAATGTGCAGGAACCTATTTTTTCCCCAAGAAACTGAAACAGATTTGTATGTTTATTTTAAAAAAATTTGCATGAATAGTTTATGTTTTAACTTTAATGAGGTTAAGTCCTCTGAAGAGGTCTTGTTTCATGACTCGTAATAACAGTATACATCCTCATTCTTTTTCTTTTGTGCTAGGAACTGGAGAAAAAAAATGTCTGGTATCACTGAGAACTACTGGATGCTTACAAACATCAGTGTATTATTAGAGGCATAACTTTCAGAACTTCTTTCAAACATGTTGCTACCATGTTTTATACTATTCCATTCTTTATACAGACTGATTAATGAACCTAATTTAATATTTGTGATACATTTCTTGTGATGATAAATGATGCATCTAATACTGATGTCTGGTTTTACTCTGTGTACCAGCAAAGGAGGCTTCTTTTTCTGGGCAGCATCTTGCAGCGAGTTTGCTAGCCAGAATATATCCTACTTGGTGTGATAATTTTCATTAAGTGATCAGTGAAATTGAACTTGCTTTATAGCCATTCATACAATGAGAAGAACCATATCTGTTACACTTGAATTAAAATTGATAGCCTAAAGTTGAAAGATCTAGTTGCTCATTAGTAGTCTTTTAAGGCACCAGTTTTCCTATAAATACTAAATTAAGATTACATACCCATTGCATGTAGAGCTGGTATCACTGTCTGCTGTTACGGTTTCCTGACATTTTCCATTTTAAGACCTTATTTTCAGTTTCTTAAAACTGGGCCAAATTTGAAATACTTGGGATCAAATTTGGCATGCTTTCTGTCTGATTTTTTTGTTTGTTTTGGTTTTTTTAATATACAGTTTAAAATCTTTAGCTGTTTCCGGAAATAGAGTATGGGGAAAACATGCTGGTTATCTGTGGAAAAAATTAGATTTCACATCTGCTTCACTGAGATGCTTTGGCACCTTTGTGTATTAGAGTATGTACTTGAAATGTGGGAGAGCACTTTTCCTATGTCAAAGTTGCCCATGTTCTTCTGTGAAAAAACATGTCAGTTTGACCAAGTTGTAAATCTTCGGAAACTTAGTTTTTTGAAAAGGTATAGTAAATACTTTTTATCATTTGCTTGTTAAATTCACTGACCATCCCATCTGCATGTACATGCTTCATTGTAGGGGTTGAAGAAGAGAGTATGTCTTATCCTACTTTTGATACTTATGGTTACTGAAGGACACTGGAAGTTTGAACAGGAGAAATGAGAGTAAACATGACTTGTGTGAGGACAGAAACTTCCTGAACAAATGTGATAACGATGCAAGTGGTAGACTGGGATTTGAAGTAGGATGGGTGACAGTTATGGAGAGAACTGATAACGTTATAGGAAGGTGGAAAGTCTAAGGGTGAAAGATTGAGGTTACATGAGTAGTTGGTTAGATGCAAGTAAAGAGAATTTGGGATTGAATAGACAGAATAAAGAGGAAATCCCCCATAAGAGACCAAAAGTGTGTGCATGGAGCAGGAATGTGGAGTATGGGGTTGAGAGACAGTAACTTATAAGATACTACTTGTATAAATATAACTTTGCAGAAGATGTCTTGCCTAAACTTGCAGCATAAGCTTTTCTGTATGAGTAGTAGTGAGAACTAGACCTGTATGGTAAGTGATTTTACTCATCTGCTCTAGAGGCTTACCTGATAGTGGAAAGGAAGGACCTCTGTAGTTGGAAGAAGCAAACACTTGACTCTGAAAGAGGCCTAGATTGCTGGCATATGTTGAGTTACACAAAAGTCAGCCATTTTAAATTAAAGTAAACTGAATCCCTCCTTTAGTCAGAATACCCAGGCAGAGGCATGAGACTGGCTGTGCCTGAAGGCAGAGACTAATGGGAGTTGAAATGCAGAGCCAGAGCTAAGGGACAGGGAGGGATTGGGAGGAGGACATAAAAGCAGGGAGGGGAGAAACGGTTGAGTGTGGCTACATAGCATGTTAGACAATATTCCCTTTCAGAATCAGGAGCTGAAAAACAGCATTATGGACACGTCAGAGCTCTGCCGGTAGTGGAAATCCGTTGGCAAATCATACACCATAGGCTTGCTCTTGGAGTAGTGGTAATGCTGACCTTTATTGAGTTTACATGAACTTTTAATGCCTGTTGGAGTTTGAGATCTACAGAATGTCTGCATGGCATGTTAAATTTGGACAGAAACCATTTGAGTTTTGGAAAAGGGAGGAAGAAGCTTTCCTTTTACAGAAATAAAAATGCAGCTGAATCTTTGACTTGTGGGAACTTCATACTTGAGAAGTAGTTGGAAAAAGTTGACCAAATGAGTGGGCATTATACGAGAACTGGTATAAAACACTGAACTAGATGGATTCTTTTGTGCAATTTCTGCTGTAGTGAGATGTCTGTAGTGAGAATCTACATTAATTTCAGTTATTGAACAATGGGCTGTTTATTGTAAGTTAAATAAAATTGTGCATGCAAACATCTTTCACTAGCATTTTCCCAATTACTATTGTGAGTTTAAGCACTACTGACATAAATATTCTGAGACAATTTTGTTGTAGGCTTCTCTTTGTAAATCAGTTTCATTTCTGTTATACTCCATGCTCACAGCAAAAATCAGGTGGGAATGGAGGATCAGGAGCTGCCTTTTTGATGCATTAGGTATCCACATGTAATATTGCAGCAGTGTTGGATTCACTTCACAGAAATTCTTTTAAGCATTTTCTTAATGAAGGGTTTCAAGACCTTCAGTGTATGCTGCTTTACATAAATCAATTAATTTTCTGTTGAATAAGATTTAGAATGTTTTTGGGGGTATTAATGATCTTTCATTTTTTTCTAGAAAATAAAAATAGCTCTCACCAATTACAAAATCATGTAATACTTATAATTACAACAAGATTATATTTTTAAAATATTACAGAAATTTTAATTGAAATAGCTTAAATATCTTCAATGATAACCTCTTATGGTTATTTTCTTGTATGCTATTTTGAGCTGTAGTCGATTTGCTTTATTTTATTCAAACAGACAACTCTTATATGAGTAAAGACCAGCATGGTTCATCATCTGAGAGTGAAGATGAAGCACTGGGTAAATATCATGAGGCCTTGTCTAGAACCCAGAGTTCCAGGCTGCCAGTGGTGGATGGCAGACAGCAAAAAAACTATATATGGGAAACCAGACAAAAATATAGTCCCCTGTCTGCAGAATATGATGGATACAGTAGTGAAGCCTCAATAGATGAAGGTAAGAGTGATTTAAAAGCATTCCTTTTATTCCAAATTTCAGAATTATGTTCTGGATATGTAAGTTTTAGATGAGGACAGCTTGACTTGCAAATAGTCAATGTCTGCAAGAAATATCCAGATATCTTTTATATTTGTGCATGCTCAAAAAAAAATGGCACAGACTTGTGCACATTCTTCCAGAAATACTGCAAATGATATCTTGTTATATTAAGTTCATACAATTTAGCATTAGTCATTTGATTTTTGGGGGAGTTTAAACTTTTAATTTAGGAAGGAAACACGGTAACTCTTGATGAATTCTGTGGTATTATAAATACAAAGAAGACCTGTTATTCCTCTATTGATAAGCTGTCATAACAGCAAAGTAAATGGAATTGGTTGTTGGTTACAGTGCATATGGTAATTGCAGTGTGGATTACTGGATTCTATGTCTTGCCTTCTCTTGATATCACAGAAAGAAATTATAAAAAAGATTAGATTCATACAATTTTTCCATGGCCTTAAAAGTTGGATGTAAACCATAGGTGTTTTCTTCTGTGGTATATATTTCTTGATTTTAAGTTAGGGTGTCTGTCAACCTGACATAAAGGCTGAGAAGTTTGCTGTCAATATTTTGTCAATATGATTTTTGTGTGTGAAAATAGCTGTACATGAGAACGGTGTAGCCATTTTCTAGTATGAAAAGTAAGCTTTTGTTGAAGTTACATGTAAGTCAGGTTCTAATATAGATGTGTTAAGTTATTTGTTGGTCTCCCTTTAATATGTTAAAATGCAAAGGTTTTTTAGTGATTGATATTTTCTAATAAAAAGTGGATGCATGTAATTAAAAGATATTAGTTCTTAAATGTTCTATACAGTCCAGAAGTGCTTAAAAATTTTTAAATTTTCTACTATGTGATGTAATTCAATTATATAAACGTATATTTGCCGCTGAAATTTGAAATTAGTGTGTGCTTACTCTTGATTCCAAGTTAAGACATAAAGGGCATGAAAACCATAATTGAATAAATTGCAGAGTAAGAAGATTATTTTCTGATCATCAGAAATTTCTTCTTTCCTTTATTGTTACATTGTAGGAATGTTGGGAGTCTGAGTTCCAGTGAATATGGAGGGAAATGTAGAGGTGAGGTTAGGTGCTAAAACACTGTGATGGAGAAGGGCATCAAGGAGGAGGGAGTAGTGGAAGTATGATGTTTGGGTTTTATATCTACTGAGACCTACCAACAGTGTTGGTGGGGGGGGAGTATGAAAGATAAAATACTATTTTTGTATATAATTTATGTCATTGTTGGGAAAGAATGGTGATGTACATTAACAGGAGATGGAAGACTCAGTTGTATTTATTAGCAGATAATATCAGATACAAATTATACAAGAAGACTACTTTCAGATTCCTAGAATAAAGTATTTGTCTCTCTTCAAACTATTGAGGCCCGTTGTTGAAATAGTCCTAAAATAATTCATGTTGAAAGGAACATGTGACATTCCTCTATTTCACAATTGTTTAGAGTTTTTTTATCCTACCTAGTTCATCTTCTCAGTAAGAAGTTGTCAGTTCATCTGAGCTTTTTACTTTGGCCCTATAAGACTTAAGTTCCAAAGTCCTTGTTCTAGCCTGTACCCAGTTTGGTTTGGTTCGTTTTTTTAATAATTGTCTGTTTTATAATCCTCTCAGATTATCAAAATTCATATTCACTGACTTTTATTCTCTTCTGGGGAATGAGAACTCTAGTATGGAAATCTGTATCATGGTTAGAATCTAAGATAAAAGAACCCTGTTGGCAAGTCCAAGTATTGCATCAGGAAAGTTACAGTTGTTTCCTCACTCCTTTTTTTGTGTTTTTCTTCTATTGCTAAAGATATCTGTAACCAGCTGCTATCCCTTCTCAATGCATTTTCCATTCAGGAAGCTGGCTGGATGTAAAACCCATTTATATATATGCACACACATATTCACTCTAAAATTAGTATGCAAATTGGATTTATTATAATGAAAGAACATTCAGAGTTTGGAAAAAAAAAACACTTTAAAGCAAAAACTATGAAAATATTCTAACTTAGAAAATTATAAATTTTTAACCACGTACTTCTACTTGCAAAAAAAACTTTAATACTGTTTGCATTTTGCTTTTGCTGCTGTTTATGAGAGCATTCTCTACCCACATTTTACAAGGAGTGGAGAATCAGCAATATTATTTATTTGATAGCCTGCAATCATTCTACCGTTTTCTGTAAAATGCTTGCAAATTAGACTGATGATTTTGTTTCATTTTTGTAATCCAGTAATCTCAACAAAATTATGTTCAATAATATTAGAGTTTTGTGGTATTTGATACGGCAAGAGATTAACAACCTAGTAATTTTCACTTTTCAGTGACCTGAATACTGGAATAATTAGTGCTAGAACTTTTTATGTTCTTCCTAAATTATTTCAAACATAAAAGAATCTTTGCACAATTATAAAAATGTGTTAGAACAGAGGAAAAAACAGAGTGTGCCTTTTTATGTTACATGATCATTACAGACTGAAAGCCGCCCAACCTAGAACTTTGATAATAAGAGAAGGTGGAAGCCTCACGAGGAAAGCCTGCAGTCAAAAATAACCAAGAAACTGGCTATTGCTATCAAACAGTTCATATGTGTTCAGAGAAGCAGTTCACTGAGCAGATGAGGTTAAAAATGTCCGATTCCAACTTTCTAGATGTTTCAGTGTCATATTTAAAAATTCAAAGCTTTACTGTTCCTTAAACTTGCAAAATAAATCCGTAGAAGGCTGATGCTATAGGAATCCTGAAATTTTTCATTAAATACTTGGGTTTATAACTGTTGAACTATTTTTGTATGAAATGTGAAGACAAATAAATGGTCAAGCCATTTTTCAATTGTTTATTCAGGAGAGGGAGCAAGCAGTATATTCCTACGTACTTTATTTAATATGAGAAACAATTGTCAATATATTTGAGACTTTGTGTACTTCTGTTTCCTTATACGTACTCTATCATTTCTACTTCTAAAATTTAAATGTTTCAGCTGTACTTCCAGCTTAAGGCACCAATCAGCCCATATGTTGAGCAGGACTTGATAGTGTTACAGTGAAGTGATGAGAGGAGAGAATTAATTTTTGCCTCATCTCTGTTTCCCTTCTGCTCATTGCTAGTAAATCAGCCTCTGATGGTATCATTAAAAATTCTGTCAGAGGTAGAGTAATATGAACAATGAAAATTATATTTCATTTTTGGAAAATTTTGTATTATTTTCTCTTCAGCAGTTAATCTGTCACCTGTTGTATCTTGAAGCAATGTGCTGTGTGTTTTCAAAGGAGTCAAAACAGTTTTACTAATAACTATTTACACTTCAATCTTCACTTTTAAAATTTGTTTAGATGTGTCTGCACTTAACAGTGCACAAAAAAATATTAACAAGACAAAAATACAATATTTTCTTTATTAATGCACCCTGTAAGTTTTGCTTGCATTGCTAAAAACATGTATAATATTAAAATGTTTTCATTACTAAGACCATCGAAATGTCTGATCATATTATTTTAAGGTTCACTTATTATCAATTATGTAATTAGTTTATTACATTTCTTTTTCTGGCTGCATGACTCTCAAAATGTTTTATTCTGAAGCCTGAAAATGTGTGTGGTACACTTTCACATCATTCTTTTCTCCTCTAGATGGCCATATTAATCTTTCTTTTCAGCATGTTTATGTAGAACTGACATTAAAAGCATTTTGTGTAATGCTTTTAATAGTTAAATGAAGAAAGCTATATATTTTGTGGGTTTTGTTGGTGTATTTTGATGATGGAATTTTCTAGTTGCACTTTCTTTCTAGTAGTTCATTCTTTGAAATTAAGGTTTTAAAATTTTTGTTCACAAATACCTGATTATGATCAGTGTCTGATCTAGTGCATCTGATGCACTTAGATTTTGATGAGTTATAGTATATATTGTAAAATGGGGGGAAAAATATATTGTGCTTAGATGCAAATAATTTCTACAGACTCCATGTTATTGTAAATAATATAACTCTTGCAGTGAGCTCCTCATGGACAGCCTTAGTTCTAGTGTATCTCTAAAGGAAAATCTAATTCATTAGAAAATCAAGATGATGACAAATATGATCATCAAGAGTAAAATGATACAGAATGATAAAGCAAATGGTACAGATGGCAAAATGGTACAGAAGATAGGTTTACATCTGAAATTTCTAACTTTTGCATAAATGACCCCAAACTGTTAATCACAGAAGAGAGAAACTTGTAGAACTATAGTATTTCTTGATATCTATGTGTGGACTTATCCAGGTCTTTGTGCTTAGGCCCGGAGTTCTAGGATTAGCTCAAAGTTTGAGTTCTTATTTTTGTGAATAATATTCTTTGTGTTCTTTTTCATGTTATCCAGTAAAGTATGGCTACTGCCTGAAGTGACCTTTTTTTCCTTTTCCCTGATACATATCCTGATAAAACTTCCTTTTCATTTTTTTATCATGTGCATCCTCCTTCTTGTATTATTCCCTACCATTTCAAATGCTGTTATTATCCTGTTGAATATGCAGTGTTGCTTTTATGTGCTCCAATTATTTGTAATATTTTGAAAGAGGGGATTAATATAGGCTGTGGTATTACACATCTGTTTCAGAAAATAAAGAACAAAAGTAAGGAAAACAAACACACAAAAAAAGCAAAACTAACACCATAACATATTTCTGCTAACAAGGAGATTATGAGTTGAAATAGTAATCTAAATAAGGAGGTGTACAAACTTTAAATTTAAAATTGGCATTATTCTTTGTACTTTGATAATTGGAAATATTTTTTAGTATCTCTGTTGTTGTGATTTTAAATGGACAATGCTTTCTTAATAACTTCAGTTTCAAAAAAACATACAATGTTATTAAACTAGCCCCTTTTGTCTTCAGTAGTGGCTGCTTCCTGAACTTTAAAAACTCGTCTGTTATATAGGCAACTTGTTTTGTCTTCGTTATCTCTGTA